GCTCTCCTGCTGGCCAGAGGCTGCGCGCGGCAGCGGCCCCAGGCGAGCACCCCTCGCGCTCGGGCCCACAGACGCCTGCGGCAGCCGGAGCCCAAGATCCTGCAGCAGCTGCGGCGCCGTGGGGACAACCTGTACGTGGTGACCAAGGTGCTGCGGACGCTGGGCGAGGCGAAGGTCACGCGCACGCTGAAGCAGGAGGGCTCGGGCCAGATGGCGCTGCTCTCTGCCGTGTGCCTGAAGGTGCGGGGGCGCCCAGCGGGGGGGGACGAGCCCCAGGCAGACCCTCGCGCAGCACCCACGCCAGCCCCTGCCCGCAGGGGAAGGGCGAGGGCCACCTGAGCCGCGAGCAGACGGTCACCATCCCCGAGGGCAGCGTCCTCGCCTTCCAGCCGGCCCTGCTGACCATCGACTCTAACTGGGGTGCGCTGGGCTAGGGAAACCGCGGGGCGCAGGGGGGCAGGGGCGGGGCGGAAGAGCCGGGGGCGGAGCTTCCTGGGGAGGGGCCGGCCTGTGGGGCGCCCGGTGAGGGAGAGCCGCGCCCACCTTCCCCGCCCCGCTCTGCCGCCAGAGGTCCTGCTCTTCCCCGACAAGAAGCAGAAGACCTTCGGGCCCCCTAAGCAAGGTGAGCCGGCCCCCGAGGCGGCGACCCGCAGGCCTTTGTGCCGTCCAGACTCCCGGGGAGCACCCGCCCCCTCATGCACCCCAACACAGGAGCGGGCCCTCGGGCGCGGCGGGGCGGGGCTGGCTGTTGGCGCGCGGCGGGGCAGCCGCTGACCGGGCTCCCCGCGCAGGCTTCCTGCAGCGGGCCGGCCTGGGGCTCTTCCCCGCCTCCGGAGACAGTGTCCAGTCAGGTCAGTCCTTCCCGACCGCCTCTGTGGCCCCCGGGGGGCGCCCCGCGCCCCGACCAGGCCACCGCCAGCCCTCTGCCCTCAGATGCGGCTGCCCAGAGCTACACGCTGGCCGAGGACTGGCAGGGCCTCCAGGCGGAGGTGGCTGAGCAGCAGGGCCTGTGCGTCCTGTCGGGGCAGCTGTGCGAGCAGCTGCTGCACGGCCTGGCCGAGCTGCTGCCGGGCGAGGCGGCCCTGCAGCGCCTGGAGGAGTCGGTGAGCCGCGGGACGGCACGAAGGCCAGCTCCCAGGCGCCGGCCGGCGGGGGCAGGCTGAAGAAGAGCGGCAGCTGCTGCACGGCCTGGCCGGCGTAGACGGTGGCGTCGGGCACGGCCTCCGACTGGATCCTCAGGCGCAGCCAGACGAGGGTCCCGGAGAACAGCAGCGGCAGCAGCAGCTCCAGGATGCTCACGAGGACCTTTCGCTTCTAGGGGCCGGGGAGACGCACGGGGAGCGTGGGGCGCACGGACCCCGGCCGCCCGGGTCCCGGGGGCGCCCCTGCCGCCAGACCCACCTGCAGGGTGTAATTCTTCCAGAGCAGGAGGCGCAGCTGCCGGAGAGCCTCCATCCCGCCTGCAGGGCCGGGCGCGGCGGGGCACACTGGGGGGG